CTGTACAGGTCCTTGGCAAAGCTCTAGGAGAAAAGGTACAGACACCAGTCCCAGCCTTTGGGCAAAGAGCTAGTTAATCACTACTCCAGGAGCCCCCAAACCAACTTCTCCTTATCTGCTCATCTAGCCAAACAGTGTGAAATAAGCATGGGGTGGAATCAGCCCAATTTTAGCCTAATAATATGGGGAAAGGAGAGAGGGAGGGTGGAGAATGGGTGGAGGGAGGGTAATTGGTGGGACTATGCCCATGGTGTATCTTATAAGGGTACAATGTGAAACTTTCTAAATGTAGAATATAAATGTCTTAACACAATAACTGAGAAAATGCCATGAGGGCTATGTTAGCCAGTTTGATGAAAATATTTCAAATGGTATGTAAAACCAGCACATTGTACCCCATGATTGCATTAATGTACACAACTATGATTTAATTAAAAAAATAACTCTAAGGATTCTATTTTAATAACCATGTACCATATTTTTGCTGTGTACAATGTATGCTTTTTTGTTTAAATTTTTAAGAAAAAATAATGCTCATTATACACGTGCAGTATTGCTTGAGAGCTGGGGATCTGAGTGGATCTGGATTCTTCTGCCTGGGCTCATCTGGTGCATGGGGTTCCAGTCTGAAAGGATCTAGGATCCAGTGAGTGGGTAGGATCCAGTGAGTGGGTAGAGCAGCCTCTGCCCAGCTTCATGATCAGGGGAGAGGGTAGGGATGGGGCTGATGAGATGGGCTGCAGCTGCAGCCCTGAGGTTTCAGCTGAGAGGAGGGGATCAGGAACCTGGCATGCCACAGGCCAATTGGCTCAGAAGCTTCTAGTCCACTGGCTTTGCACAGAAGTGGGGAGGAGGGAAGGGCTCATGAGAGAGAGTGAAGGGACAGTCTTCACAGAGTGGGTAGCTGTGGAAGGGCAGTGGAAGGGCAGTTTATCAGGGGAGCTTTAGCCCTCCCAAGACGTGTCTCTCCAGACTGAGAGCTGGCCATTCTGTCAAGTGGCATTTTCCTCAAAGTTTGGGTCAAAAATGTAGGAGCATATGATACATGAGAGCACATTTTAAATGGCAAAAATGGTAAATATTTTCCCCAGCTGTGCCTTTTAGTATATTCTGACTATTTTCTTTCTTGAACTACTTTTTGTTTTTCTTGGAGTTAAAACTTGACTATCACTCATTCATACTCTTGGAAAATCTCTGTCAGCATAGAAGTGCATGCCAGTTCTTTAGTTTCCTTTTCTTTGGGGAAACCATTTTTCTTGGAGGCATTCCTCTCAAAGTTTCTCCTCACCACCCACCCAACTCCTTCCTGATCCAACATAAGCTGTTTTCAGTAGAGGCCTGATGTGCAACTGTCTTCTAACACCATCCTGGGAATCCTCTTCCCTTTTGTATTGGATGTCATGTTTCTTGAAATCCATATCTTATTAGTTTAGGCCTTAGTTTTAGATGGAGCAAATCTCTAATAGTTTTATAAGAAAAGGTACATAGGAGATACATTTTTTTGAATCTTGAATGTGTGAAAATACCTTTATTCTTCTCTCATGAAGATATGATAAATATATGACATCATAGATTAGAAATAACTCAATGGTTTTGAAAGTTTTTAGCTTTTATCTTCCCATCCCGATGTGAAAAAGTACTAAAGTATTCTCATTTTTGCTTCTCTAAATGTGGCCTCCCTCCCCTTCCCAAAAGCTTGTAGGACCTTCTGTTTATTCTGGTATTCTCAAATTTCATGATGATACAAGCACTTGTATAGGTATTTTTAAAATTTGTCATATTAGGCATTTAGTACCCATATCCTTTAGTTCTGGGAGTTTGTTGTATGTTATTTGTTTTTCTTTCCCTTCTGTTACTTTGTTCTTTTACTTTAGAATTTCTAATATGAATGTCACCTGAGGATGATGAATCTGATTCCATACTTTTCTATTTCTTACTCTCTCTCTCGGAAACCTCTAGGTATAATTCACATTTGATAACATTCCCCAAGTGTTTGACAGATTTTGACAAGTGTGTGTATGTGTGTGTGTGTATATGTAACCACTATAATCAAGGTAGATGAACATTTCTATAACCCTAAAAATTACTTTTCCTTCCCCCTTTATAGCCAGCCCCTCTACTCTCTTTGACCAGCCCTTGTAAATCATTGATTTACTATCTATGGGTATAGTGTTTTTCTAGAATTTCATGTAAATGGAATCATAGGAGATGTAATCTTTGTTATCTGCTTCTTTTACTTAGCAAAATGATCTTGAGATTCATTATTGCTGCCTGAATCAGTTTGTTCTTCATTGCTGAATATATACAGTACTGCAATTTATTTATAGATTCACTAGCTAATGGACATTTATTTTCAGTTCTTGGCTATTATGAATATAAGTTGTATAAACATTCATGTACAAGTCTTTTTGTAGGACATACATTTTTTGTTTTTCCTAAGGAAATATTTAAGAGTGAAATTGCTGCTTGTATAGTAATTGTATGTTTAACTTCATAAGAAATTGTGGTCTTTCAAAAGTAGCTGTCCTATTTTGCATCCCCACCAGAAATGTATGAAAGTTCTAGTCACT